ATGCCGCCCGGGAATGCCGCGGCGGGCCTGCTCTCCCAGCGAGCTCGCACCTTCCCGAGATAACGCCTCTGGTTTTTGTTGAAATGCTAAAGTTGCGTTTTATGAATTTCTGTGGGTTAAATTTGAGACTCTTAGCAAATTACCTTGACAGCTCACCGGTGTACCTAACGCCTCTAGGTGGATTAAGCGCATTTATGGTCTCGCCGTTTACAGCTCTGGTGAGTTTATCTATAAATGAGGCTTCAGTCCGAGTTTGAAAAGGCAGTGTTTTTCTTCTGAAAGCAGAGATGATCACGAAGGAGTTCACGGTGGCGTATTTATTGAGCTGCTGGGGACCGGCATCTCGTGAATAGCTCATAAAGTTGCAGTACTCGCTGTACATCAGCACTCTAATACAAACCCCTAAACGCCTTTTCCTCCCTCTGTATTGTGTTTTGATTAACACTAGAACTGCCTTCTATTACACAGGTTTTCATGTGAAAAATACCCCTGTTAATTGGCAGGAGATTAAAAGGTAACTAACTCATTAATAAGAAATGTGACAATTTAATAATTTCCCTGGAATCCCCGGTGCCCACAGTAAAGGGACAGACACAGCCATATTCACCATGATCAGTTTTATTGCTTGAGAACCAGAGTACTCATTTCTAAAGGCCTTCAAAGTTACCATGAGTTGAGTTCGCTTAAATAGAATTACTGTGTGGTTATAATGCAACATGGCACAATAGCAGTACAGAGCTGCAGGCACCCTTTGGGCAACGGTGCTTCGTATGAACCCAGGCTGTGCTGTCGAGAAAACATTCTGCAAGCGGACATCAAATCATTTCCAATGGTAGTGATTTATACCCAAACCAAGCATCAATCTAATGCCATCACGCAGTCCATGAACTCTGTAGTGTTCTAAATTAAATCAATAAAACATACATTTGTGTTTCATCAACAGACTCCCTAATCACCTTTTAATGTTGTATTTAGTGGTGGGAGAAAAATGTTCGTAACGAGATTATATTGTAGGCTGCACGGAGCTACTAACCAGGAAAATTTACAGGTTGTTTTTTTTTCTTTAACGCTGTATAAATACAGTCGGTGTCCAATACAGTTGCTACCTGAAGCAGACTATTATTTTCTTCTCCCGTGTTGTTATTGGTTCAATATAGAATACTTGGCACCATAAAACAGTAACAAAAGACGGACAAAAACAGTTTACAAAATTCTGGAAAGTTACACCCAAACCTAGCTAAGAACTTCACATTCAATCCTTAATATTACATAGAAAGAAGGGATTATAGGAGTAACAAAGTGAAACTGCTAATATATGTGCTATATAGTATGCTATATATCTGTATCCAGGATGGCACTGCTATATATTATTTCTTATATAAATGTTGGTTGTGGATGTACACTTAACTAAACCTGTTAAGACTCCAACACTAACTGCTGATATGGCACTCTCAAGCATTCATACTGGAAAGTATATTTAGCGTAAGTTTTGGTCAGGTTTATAAATTATTTATATATCTGTGTATATATACACATACATACATATATATACACACACATATATGTATGTATAGAAAGCAGCTGCTGTGTGATTCAAAAACCATGTAACATGGCAGTATAGTAAATAACATGAGAAAAAAAATTATAAAAATGAAAAAAATACTAAAACTAAAACACAAACCATAAGCCTTGGTCAACAAAGAAAATACCATTTAAAACCATCAATATCTCTATCTATACAATCCAATGTACAAAACCCCAAAGTGGTAAAGATATATAATGTTAGGCATGACACCTTTAAAAGTTTATAATATGCTGAAATAGCTTTTCCACATTGACAAACACTTATTAAAAGTTGAAAGTTGTGAAATCTAAAATACATAACATCTCTGCTGTCTATTTAGAGTTTTGGCAACAGAATTGTGACATATATATAAAAAATAATTCCACGTTTCTACTTGATGTCACATGAACATACAAGACAGTGAGGTATGTGAGGCTTTTCTCGAACAGAGTCCAGATGCTGAAGCATAGTGTACGATCAGCAGTCTAAAAATGTGGCACTCGGGACTTGATTTATCAATACAGTTGTTACGATTATTTATTTCAGTATACTGCGTATTCCTTCCCCTCCTTGCTACAGTGTGGTTTCACGGAAAATCTTCTCATTTCGTAGGCATCTTTTTCCTGTTGCAGAATTGGCAGTTTTTTAAAAAGAAAAATAAACACAGGGGAAATGATGTAGAAAATATAAACGTAGAGGAAAAAAATGATATTTACCACCACATCACTGCACGACACAACACTTGTGCACATTTGCAATAGGTTTACCTGCCCCAGCAGCTATTCGAAAGGACAGGAACACAGGCTGCAGCAAGTTAGGGAAAAATAGAAGTTACACATTTGAAATACAAACATTTTTTTTTCAGTCAGTAGTAAACACAACAAAAATTCCTCTATGACTGGAAGCGAAATGATGCAATCATTTCTTGGATTAATCTAACTACAAAATGCGCAAGAGAACTACATCAGCTCCTTACGGATCTCTGCTCCCATTGAAATCAAAGGGAAAATGTGCCACTGATTTCTGTGGGAAGAGGACTGGGTCCCGTACACAGCTCCCTGGGATCACAGAATTAGCTCCACTGAAAGTGCCGTCCTAAAAAAACTCCTGTTAATGACAGCGATGAGAAAGGAAACAAAAAACGACTGTTTCCGAACTGGCTGTCCTTCAGCTGCTGACACACCGAACTTTGCATTTTACTGGAGAAGTTAGTAAACTTCTGCATTTTAAAATCTGACTTGGGTGATTCCGGACCAAATATCTTAAGTGCATTCCTCCTTAGAAAAACAACACTCTGTCTCACCAGACCATGAAAGTAAATATAGCTTTGTATTTGTGAATGTGGATTTATGTGTATACATGCATACACACGTAATTGCCCATTATCCATCACTGAATTATTGTTCAAGAGCCTTAGCACTGCCTCTCGCACTGATACATTACCGTTGTTGTACAGTTTACAAGTTTTTGCAAGTTTCTAGTTGAGTTTTTATATAGTTTTTATCTAGGCTTTCAGAGGTTACCTCCTACTCCTTGATCGGTTTCTTTCAAAGGAAGCAAATACTCAGTTTTGCTGTATTTCTAACTTAGCTTTCCACCTGGTATCTTCAGCAGAGAAGATTGTTTATAAAATTAATGTCTTTTTCTTCACTTTAACAACTGGTATTTATGTAATTCTATATCCTTTTTCTCACTTGTTGCTTAAATATGGAACTGCCAGTATGTTATTTTACTGATATCCAGCTAGGCACCGAATTAACTGAAACTATGCTTTGGAAGCAATTTTGATAACCTGATGAAAATACTTTTGTTTTACAAGAACAGTCGTGAGTGCACAGACAGTTGCCCCTCTTCGTTTTGTATTGTGTCATGTTTTCATTCTAGTGCACATCATCCTGTTCTATATTTGATCTCATACAAGTATCTACTCTAATGTACTGGCTGGTTTCAGCTGAACTCAACTTTAAAACATTTTCAAGGCTTTAAATTAAAAATAGGACAGAGATATAGCTGACTTAAATATAAAATTAAGAGAAACTAGTGCATACATTCTCCTTCCTAATAAGAAAGACTTAGAAGATACAACATTAAAATATTTAATTTAATTACCTTGTGATCCCCCATGCAGACATTTGGCCCAATGTGGTCATATATTACTATCTTCTCATCATTTTCTGACTAGTTAAAAAAACACAACAAAACACTAGTCAGTGCAAGTATCCTCCAGATTACAGAAACAGAAAGAAATATGGAAATACTTAACGCAAACAGTTCAAACCAGTTTCTGAACGAAGTGATATTAACACATCTTTGCTTGGCTTCTCCAGAGAAAGACCCCGTAGAATGTCTATGTCCAGTACCGCTTGCAGTAATTTGTGCAATTTGTCCATGTAAAATAACTCACAAAGTCCCTGCGTCTACTCCTTGCTTCTGGGACCTCAAGAAATTTTAGGGACTAACACGTGGATGGATGAGATGAATGCATGATTGCATTCCAGCCTTTGGCCAGGGAAATGCAGCAAGCACATTTGGCTAGTCCTTCTTTATGAACAACACACGATTTTTATTGAATTAGGTGGGATAGATGTTGTTCTTCGAATTAAAGGCAATCCACATTGCCTTATAAGAGCATTTGATTTCTTCATATAGGTGATTTTAAGTGTTCAGAGAGGTGAATTATTTACAGTTTATGAGTATAATCTTTAACCATTTCTGAGATACATTTCATCTGAAAAAAAGCATTAAGTGATTTTAAGAAAATCAGCAGCAAATGGAAGATGACATTCCTCCGGTCTCCATTATGAATTGCTTTCATTTTGTGCCATGTTGAACTTTATCCTTATACACTGACTTCTTTAGCATTTGCAGCTTAATGAATAATAAAATGTACTCCATCCTTCTGCCATTGGCAATAAACGTGATTTTGGGAATCTGTTTTGATTCTCTAGCACAGTACTTCAGGAATAAATACAAATACATTGCCATACAAGACAATTTCCTATTATGCTAAACAATTCCTATAAGCTAATTAAATCTGCAATCTGCACACTCTCAAGTCTCTAATAAAATCATAGACGTGCTTTAAAGTAGTTGGCAATACTAATTTATTTTGTATGAAACAGTCAAGACTTTCTCATCTGTAATCAGTCAAGTTTGACTGGGCAATAACTTTATATAAACAGTAGCATTTAGGACTATAAAGTTAAAACTGAATTATCTGTAATGCAGTAAGGAAGCTTAAGGTCAGATTTACTTTATAGCACGGTTGTCTGCCAAAAATATAAAAACATAACCTTCTGCATTGTATGCATGAGCACTTTCCAATATTTCAAGATCATAATGCCACTAGCATCGGAAGTGGGGATACATTCATCAAAAGCGACTTGATAATTTACAAAGGCAGCATAAAATTGTGGATTTTCAACTGCATAATCTTTAGACAGATAAACAAATTACAGCGGTGCACAAGCAGAAACAATGTACACTTGGCTGAGCATTCATTACTTCATGCTATCAGGCATCAATGCAGCTCCCTAGCAGTGGGCAACCTTTGGTGTTTTAGGGCTCAGGAAGCATAAAATAACATGATGGTGAGGTAACCGACCATAGCATGATAGATGATGTTGCATGAAAGCTGTTTACAGCCCCATGTCTGTACAATCTGTAATGCCTACTGTGTAGCTGAACACTGTACAGTGGGGTAATTTGTGCATACTATCCTTTCTTTACATAGGATTAAAATGCAGATTTACTACAATTTTTATTTGTAATAAAGTATAGAATTGCTAAGACAGGAAAATAACTTCTTTATTTGCCTATAAGAAAAATTAATACAGCAAAATAATTACCTGCATAAGAATTTTCAATAGCTAGTTACAACCAAAAACTCTTTAAAAATTCATATACATTTATATTTTAAGGATTTGTTACAGTGTAATCAGTTAATTAAAATTTGCTTCTACTTTCTTTGCAGTTCCTTTTAAAGCTTCAGAGTGTAAGTCTCTGCGATGGAATAAGTTCTCCATGGCAAGGCAAACACTGCTTGCTGTGCAGAACCACAAAAACTCGTAAGGTCATTTTGCCCTTTCCTCTATCAGTTCAGCATTCTTTTCTACTGAATATTTTCATTAAGTTTTATGGGCCAGAATTACAGTGCGGTTTTGAGTTGGATAAGCTAACTCCTTTATTGGTGTAGCCTCGCTGCGTTAAACGACCATGCCGCTTTGGCCTCATGTACATCTGTAATTTTGCACACGCATTTCTGGAGATGTCCCAGACTGCATGCTCGTCATTTGCAAATGCAAAGCTGCAGAGACAAAATTATAAGCATCTTTTAAATGTAAGCTTTGAATGATCCAGCTGACTGGGTTTCTGTTCCATGGAGACTAAGAATTGGGCTAAGTGACCTCACAGTTACAAATTTCTTTAACGCGCTAACTTTGTTTTCCTTTGTTTATTTTTCTCCCATTATATCCAAGTTATACCCCCCTAGATAATCTGAACGAATTCCTTTCCCTCTGTACTGTTTACACTCTTCAAGCCTTTGTGTACACTTCTATCTCCTTATTCATAGCTTAAAAAAAAATCTTCCCTCATTGGCCACTCT